CGGGCAGTTTTCGACGCTTCGTGTCAGGTTAACGGCCCCTCACTTAACCAATGTTTGTATTCAGGACCAAATCTTATTGCCAAGATATTTGACATCCTAGTGAGATTTAGGCTTAATAAAATAGGCATCCTAGCAGATATAAAACAGGCGTTCCTTAACATCCCTATATCTAGGGAGCATAGAGATTTTGTACGGTTTTTGTGGTATGACCTCAATTCTAAAGAGGAAAAAATAATCACTTACAGATTTTTACGGGTAGTTTTTGGACTAACGAGTAGTCCTTTCTTGTTAAACGCGACGTTGAGACACCACCTTAGCAAGTATGTAGAGAAGGAGAATGCAGTCGCAGAGCGTATTCGCGAGGATTTGTACGTAGATGATTTGGTTAGTGGAGGCGATAGCGTTGGTACAGCTAAGGAAATATATGAGACTAGTAAAGCTATTATGCTAGAGGGAGGGTTTGAATTACGTAAGTGGGTAACTAACGATCCAGAACTTCGAGCATATATTTCATCGACAATGGGTGACAAACCTAATTCCCAACCCCTAGGGGAAGATCTTACTTATGTCGAGGTAATGTCGCCTAATTTAGTTACGCCAAATCAGGCTGTCTTAGGTGTTGCGTGGGATACCATCACGGATGAGTTTGTTTTTCAGTTCGATAATTTCTTGAGCAAATGTGCGAGCCTGAAGCAAACCAAGCGGAATTTACTGAGTGCATCGGCCTCGATTTTCGATCCATTGGGTGTGATTGCTCCCGTCACCGCCAGAATCAAAACAATATTTCAGTTGTTATGTAAAGACAAATTAAATTGGGATGACCTTATCCCACCGGCACTTGCGTCAATTTGGAACAAGTTTTTAGAGGAATTAAAATCTCTGCGGGAAGTAAGATAACCTCGGTTTGTTTTTCATTTAAATTTTCATTCTGGAATCCGAGTTGAACTTCACGGGTTTTGTGATAGTTCAAAAGAAGTCTATAGTGCGGTCATTTATCTGCGGTTTGTTTGCAGTAAAAGTGCAAAAGTGTCTTTTTTGGCGGCGAAAACCAAGGTGGCGCCTTTAAAAACCCTTACTATTCCCAGGTTGGAACTATTGGGGTGTTTGTTATTGAGCAAGTTGATCAATGAGGTTGTACTTGGTATACGAGGGCGTGTAGAGTTGGATGAAATATTCTGTTGGTCGGATTCAGAGGTGGCGTTGAGTTGGATAAGGGGGAAGGAGCGAAGCTGGGAACCTTGTGTAGAGAATAGAGTTGTCACCATTAGAAAGGTTGTAGATCGTGATCGGTGGAATTTTGTTAAAGGAGAACTGAATCCTGCAGATATCCCCACTAGGATATCAACTAGTCTAGTTGAGTGTTTCTCAGGATGTTGGTTTACTGGTCCTTCGGTGTTGTTGTCTCAACCTTCTGCATACAGAGGCGAGAGAAGTGATACTCTTTGTGATCAAACGTCTTTGGGCGGGAAGGTTGTGGAAGAGGTTAGTCATTCTTCTGATGTTCTTTTCAACAACGCGACACGGAATGACATACCAGGCGAAACGTGTTCATTGTCTGATGTCATAGACTGCACTCGGTATAGCTCGTTGAACAAGTTGGTTGTCACCACCGGTTACGTGATAAGATTCTTGAACAATTTGCGAAAACGAACGAAGAACCATGGAAACCTAATCACGGAGAACGTTCTAACGGCTGACGAATACGAGCAAGTGTTACACATGTGGATTAAAGAAGAACAATCTCAGATAAAAGGACAATAAATTTTGCTAACGTTTGTGCTTCATTGAATTTGTTCGAAGACAAAGACGGATGCAATCGGATGAAAAACACGGATACCATACTTACGGCGAGCCTTGGACAGTACAAACAGCGGTTGAAACACTTACGGAAAATATTGAGAGATTGTTGGACGCGGTTTCGAAGGGAATATTTGAACGAGCTGAGACAAATGAACCTCTACCGGAAAAGGAAAACCAATACGCGAGGTCTGACCGTTGGTGATGTTGTTTTGATTAAAGAGGATGAACCAGCACCTCGGGCACAGTGGAGGATTGGAAGAGTCTTGCAGCTGGTGAAAGGACGTGATGGACTGGTCAGGGGAGCTAAATTGAAGGTTCTATCAAAGGGTGGAGCTCAGTCGTCGGTTCACAGACCGTTACAAAAGCTAATACCTTTCGAGATCGTCCAGGATGACGTCGACAAGCATGAAGGGGATGACAACGATAGGAACGCAGAACAGCATAACACGACTGAGACCGAGTCAAGAGCGGATGAGCGAAAAGGAAGTAGAAGACCAACGAGGAAGGCAGCGATCGATGGAGAAAACTTGCGGAGAATTCGCGAACAGTATACATAGCGAAACATTTAAACTGTTAGCGAATCTTTCCGGTTGGGGAGGATGTAGAAAACATTAATCTAGTGCATGACGTTTTACATTACACATTTATTTACTTTTAATAACATTATTGGTTCTGTTATAATCACGTGAGCTGTCACGTGAGCTGTCACGTGGTGAGACGATTAAAAAGACACGTGTAGGGCAATCGGAAATTAGTTGGGATAAAACGGACAACATGTAAATTTATGTTGCGTTATTTATATTAAAATAACTATATAAAAAGCAAGTGTGAGAGTGCTTTTTACATGTAGTATATTGCTCACAGGCTGTCAGAGAATTTTTGTAGTACATGAAAGTGCATGTTTGATAAAAATCATGTGAAATAAAAATCCAAAAATCATATACGTGAAATAAAAATCCAAATCCACAATATAATTGTGTATAACCTTGTCTAAGTAAGTACATATGGCCTCAAGAAGAAAGGGTTTACTTTGGGTTTTTAAATGCAAAATATATTTACTTTCAATCATCATTCGGTTTTAAAAGTAATTCGCATTATTTTAACCCATCATTTTCCATCACGAAAAATCATGTCTTTTATGCATTATACAGTCTTCGGACTTATGCAAACTCACACCCCAAAATGCAGGAAATCGCATTTCAGGGAGCCTAGATTTCAAAATATTCTGGGGGAGCATGCCCCCAGACCTCCCCTAAAATGGCTCACGCCTTTTACGCTGGCTACGCCACTATCTCTATACTATCTTCTTTATATCAATGCTATAAAATTTAATTGTCTCCGCAAAACACTTCTTCAAAAGATTTAAACCACTATTTTACACCCATAAAATATATCCCCCCCCTTATCAGCCACCATACGGTAAATAATGAACCCTAAGCATTTTATATTTCCCTGGATTGGCGTGTGTGTGCGATAACGTTATGGACTCAAATATGCGCAAAGGAAATAGCCTAATACACGGCATTTCGATAAACAATAAAGGAAAGTTAATCTGGAAGGATTGGTTCGAAGAATTAAAGAAATTTGTCGAAGAATTTTTACCGACAACTGATGGCGAATGGGATTGCCCAGGTGGAGACGTGAAGCAATACAAATCTGTAGATTGAGATCTTAGATGGCATCCGAGTACTCGTTCAATAACTCTAAATGAGAAGTTAAAGGAGAGTATCAACGAAAAACTGATTCATCTAGCACTAGTTACTGGTCATTTTAACAATAAAGTCAACGAACACGCTGCTACAGATAAGTATTACATGAATGAACCCGAGCTTTCTGACTGTAATTGTGCTCATCTTAACGCCGATATGGAGGGTATTAAACTAGATTTGACGATTTTAGAATCGCGAATGCTTGCCGCAGTGTCTGAAAACGAGCATGAGTCGGATATTATCTCGCTAAGAGTAAAACCAGTAGATATGGAAGCCGTTGTACATAATCAAGACGAAATTATTTCCCGACTTAGCGAAGAAAATCTATCCTTTAGTCAAGGTTATTGAAAAATTAGTGCATTTCATGTCCCAAGAGTATCGGAACAAAAGCAGTGGAGCGATTAATCTATCTAATATTTCAAAAGAACCCTCAACGCGTAACCGCAAGCAATCTATTAATTTGAATAAAAACAGTTTGAGTTCACCTCGAAATATCGATAACAATCTACCTCACGATAACCAACAATATGTTAGTCCGTCCGTAAGTAATATTGATTTTACGGCAGACGTGCCCCAGCCTAATTCTCAAACTAAACAGAAAGTAGATCTTACGGCAGACGATCGTATGGCAGACGAGCCCCAGCCTAATCCCCTAATTAAACAGAAAGTAGATCTTACGGCAGACGAGCCTCTGCCAAACCCCTTAATCGCCCAGAATAAAGAAATTTAACTTCCCCAAGAACGGGAATTCAAACTCGAAAACAAAATTTAACCGCGTCAGTAACGAAGATAAAAATAATAAGTACGTCAACTCTCCCAAAAGCTCTATCCCTTGCCCCTTTCTATCCCGCCGAGGATGGTGCGCTAAAGGGAACCGTTGTGATTTTCAGCATAAAGAGCCTGGTTGTGACAAACACAAAATATCCTGTCCTTTTCTACGAAGGAACGGTTTTTGTTTGAAAGGGGATCGATGTGATTATTCTCATATCTGTTTTTCTCATGGTATGGTGGCTCCCAGACCCAGGATGAACGCCACTGCTTATCCAAGTTCTTCCCTACATACCCCTATCTATCAATGTGCTCCCCCTTTTCAACCAGATACGCGACACAACACAAGGTCACCTTTTTTGTCCCATTCCCCCTGGCCTATGATTCCTCCTTTCCCCCTCCCACTGATGAATGCTCTTACTTGGCCCCCGCTGACATACTGAACATCCACGATCATAAACTCATGACATCTCCCCCTTATCAGGAAAACCTACAAAACATAACGGTTAGAATCACAAACAGAAGTTTTAACAAATCTTATAAAATACCCTCAAGAACACACGGTATTTTAATTACTGTCTCATTTAAAACCCAAAATGAGAACAAAAAGACGTTCGTGCCCAAAATATTACTCACAAACACCATGTCACTCACCCCTAAAATTGACGAAGTCTCTTGTTTTATGAAAATTCGCAATCCAGACGCTGCTTG